TCAGCTATAGAGTTGGTTTATTGTTTACATTTTTCCCCTTACAAATTTGTTTGATGCAGCATTCTATGTGTATATAGGTATGCTAGGGCTGTTATAAATGTTAAAAACATTATTTATATATTATAGAGTTGTTTAGGGTGGGGATAAATTAAACGCAATATGCGATGACGTCACAATTGTGTTGCATTGTGGACTATGGAGTGACCTGAAGTTTGCATATGAAGCAGACTCGTTTCCTCGGTCCAAATCGAGGGGTCGAGGGTCTATCCATATAAACTTCCCTCGTTCACTTCACGAGTGAGTGTCTAAAAGTGGAGCGGAAGGCAGCCCTGATCATTTACTTTAGGCTTTGAATTCTATTGCTACTGAAATGTCTCCCGTTTTCTAAAACCATGCTCCAGGTGAGGCTCAAACTCACAACCTCGGCATTGCCCTGCTGCGTACTGCCTTATAAGTACCACGCACTGATCGATTGCGCCACTGGAGCTGCTGACCAGTTGCATCACTGGAGCTGTCGACTCAAATGCATATTATCAATCACTACGGTCTTTAGTTAGACTGATTTTAAAAACTACACCATGACCTTTCTTTTAAGTGATAACAAGAACCAAACTTTCAACTGATCGTTTATGTTAGGCTTTGAGCTCCATTGCTACTGAAATGTCTCTCAATTTCTAAAAACTTGCTCCAGGTGAGGCTCCAACTCACAACCTCGGCATTACTCCGCTGCATACTGCCTTATAAGGACCCAGCACTGACCGATTGCGCCACTGGAGCAGTTAACACAAATGCATATTACCAAACACCTTGGTCTTTAGTTATACTGATTTTAAAAATTACCCCATGACTTTTCTTCTAAGTGATAACAGGAATCAAATTTTCAACTGGGCTGCACTCCAGTCCATTTTTGTATGCACTTCAGTCGCAAACTTCCCTCCGTCTCATTTATTTGGATGTACGTCATTGATTACGCTGCATGAGTGCCCACTTCTGGCGGAACCCTTGCAATGGGCTGAATTGGAAACGTCCTAAGCCCTTGATCACTTAGAATCAGCTATAGAGTTGGTTTATTGTTTACATTTTTCCCCTTACAAATTTGTTTGATGCAGCATTCTATGTGTATATAGGTATGCTAGGGCTGTTATAAATGTTAAAAAAATTATTTATATATTATAGAGTTGTTTAGGGTGGGGATAAATTAAACGCAATCTTCGATGACGTCACAATTCTGTTGTACTGTGAACTATGGAGTGGCCTGAAGTTTGCATATGAAGCAGACTCGTTTCCTCGGTCCAAATCGAGGGGTCGAGGGTCTATCCATATAAACTTCCCTCGTTCACTTCACGAGTGAGTGTCTAAAAGTGGAGCGGAAGGCAGCCCTGATCATTTACTTTAAGTGATAACAAGAATCAAATTTTCAACTGATCATTTATGTTAGGCTTTGAGCTCCAATGCTGCTGAAATGTCTCTCAATTTCTAAAACCTTGAAATTTTCAAAATTTTACCAAACACTATGGTCTTTAAGTTACAGTGATCTTTCAAATTAATCCATGAACTTCCCTCTAACTGGCTACAGCTATCTTATTTTCAACTGATCCTTTATGTTAGGATTTGAACTCCATTGCTACTGAAATATCTCTCAGTTTCTTTAACCTCGCTCCAGGTGAGGCTCCAACTCACAACCTCGGCATTACTCTGGTGCATACTGCCTTATATGGACCCCGCACTGACCGATTGCGCCACTGGAGCAGGTAACACAAATGCATATTACCAAATATTATGGTCTTTAGTTAGACTGATATTAAAAACTACACCATGACCTTTCTTCTAAGTGATAACAGGAATCCAATTTTCAACTGATCGTTTATGTTAGGCTTTGAACTCCATTGCTACTGAAATGTGTCTAGCTTTCAAAATCCTTGCACTAGGTGAGAATTGAAGTCACAACCTCTGCATTGCTGTGCTGCATACTGCCTTATAAGTACCATGCACTGACCGATTGCTCAACTGGAGCTGCTGACTGAAAGGCATATTACTAAACGCCATGTGAGAAAACCAAACTGGATTGGTCAATTTTAAGGCCAGACCACTAAGGTTGAATACACAAGCAAGTCCCACTTCATGGAATATTAGCACACAAGCCACGTAATGTTATCACCTCAACTGAAGATGGGCATTCAATAGTAGGCTGGTTTTCAATTAGACTGACCTTTCACAACACCCCATGAAATTTCTTCTAACTGATTATGGACTTCTGATTTTCAACCAATCTTTGTTAAGCCATGACCTCCTTTGCTACTGAAATGTCTCTCAATTTCTAAAACCTTGAAATTGTCAACATTTTACCAAACACCATGGTCTTTAAGTTACAGTGATCTTTCAAATTAATCCATGAACTTCCCTCTAACTGACTACAGCTATCTTATGCTCCAGTGAAGATAGCATGCTGCATCTATCTTATTTTCAACTGATCCTTTATGTTAGGATCTGAATTCCATTGCTACTGAAACATCTCTCAGTTTCTTTAACCTTGCTCCAGGTGAGGCTCCAACTCACAACCTCGGCATTACTCTGGTGCATATTGCCTTATAAGGACCCCGCACTGACCGATTGTGCCACTGGAGCAGTTAACACAAGTGCATATTACCAAACACCTTGGTCTTTAGTTACACTGATTTAAAAAATTACCCCATGACTTTTCTTCTAAGTGATAACAGGAATCAAATTTTCAACTGGGCTGCGCTCCAGTCCATTTTTATATGCCCTTCAGTCGCAAACTTCCCTCCGTCTCATTTATTTGGATGTACGTCATTGATTACGCTGCATGAGTGCCCACTTCTGGCGGAATCCTTGCAGTGGGCTGAATTGGAACGTCCTAAGCCCTTGATCACTTAGAATCAGCTATAGAGTTAGTTTATTGTTTACATTTTTCCCCTTACAAATGTGTTTGGTGCAGCATTCTATGTGTATATAGGTATGCTAGGGCTGTTATAAATGTTTAAAAAATCATTTATATATTATAGAGTTGTATAGAGTGGGGATAAATTAAACACAATCTGCGATGACGTCACACTTGTGTTGCATTGTGGACTATGGAGTGGCCTGAAGTGTGCATATGAAGCAGACTCATTTCCTCGGTTCAAATCAAGGGGTCGAGGGTCTAGCCATAAAAACTTCACTCGTTCACTTCACGAGTGAATGTCTAAAAGTGGAGCGGAAGGCAGCCCTGATCATTTACTTTAGGCTTTGAATTCCATTGCTACTGAAACGTCTCCCGTTTTCTAAAACCATGCTCCCGGTGAAGCTCAAACTCACAACCTCGACATTGCTCTGCTGCGTACTGCCTTATAAGTATCGCCCGCTGACCGATTGCACCACTGGAGCTGCTGACCAGTTGCATCACTGGAGCTGTCGGCTCAAATGCATATTACCAATCACTACTGTCTTTAGTTAGACTGATTTTAAAAACTACACCGTGACCTTTCTTTTAAATGATAACAAGAATAAAATTTCCAACTGATCATTTATGTTAGGCTTTGCGCTCCATTGCTACAAGACTGACCTTTCACAAGCCCCGTGAGCTTTCTTCTAACTCAGTGGTTCCCAAACCTGTCCTGGAGGACCTCCAGCCCTGCACATTTTGTGTCTCCCTCATCTATCACACCTGATTCAACTCATCAGCTCATTATTGGAGACTGCAAAACCTGAAGTGGGTGTGTCAGATAGAGGGAGACATACAAAATGTGCAGAGCTGGGGGTACTTCATGGAGAGGTTTGAGAACCACTGCAATAGAGGATCCGGATTATCACCCCATCCGAGAAGAGGTAGCTGGTGACAGTTCTTTTGAGTCCCTGGATGAAGATGATGCTCCCTCGACAAGCACATCCTCTACAAAGCTTCCATGTAAGAAAAGAAGAAAAGGAAAACACACTCTAAAAACAGTTTCCTTGAAGGAGCCAGAGGATACCTACACTGCACAGCATTGCTGGTTTACAAAGAAATGTTAATTTATCTAAAAAAAGAACGAAAAAAAATCCTGTTGCGCTACCACAATTGACGGCGTGTTTCTTGAATCATAAAAGCCTAAAATTCCATTATATTACTATCTTTTGCTATTTTTTATAGAATGTAATGTCTTTGGTTTTGTTACTTTTAGTTATTTGTGTTATTTATTTTTGTTTATTGTTAAAAAACAAGAAAACATATAATTTCTTGTGTTAAAATGAAAACCTGAAATATTTCATGGCATATTTAAATAAAGAAGATTCGATATACAAAACTATTTTATTTTGATTATGTTTTAAAATAAATTTGTATTATAGTTCATATTTTCCGATTTTCGTAGTATGTGAATGAATTCCGGTATTTTTATCATACAGTGACATATCAACCGTTTGGTAGAGGCCGATATTTGACCACTAATTTGACCTTAATTGCATCAGCATAGCTGTGATAGGCAATTTGGTTCTTTCTCATTATTTGACTTAATAGGAGCATATACAGGCTAAACAAGAGCGGTGCAAGAATTGAGCCTTGTGGGACTCCGCATGTCATGGATGTCCACTTAGACTTGTGCTCTCCTATACTCACATAATAACCTCTCCCTTCTAAGTATGACCTGAAGGGTTCCAGCACCTTCTGTAAATATCTGTGAGTCTTTTTGCACAACTGTAATTAATCTATCCAGCAAGTATATCACCAATAATAACATTAATATTTAATCATGTATAGGGACCCCCAAGAACTTCCTCATGGCACATTGTTCACATTTACAAAAAAAATAATAATAATAACAACAATAATAATAAATAAAAAATAAGAAGAAATCAGTTTAAATTGTCTCTGGTTTACTTTACAGAGAAATCTGTGTGTAGACCAGTGATAATTTTATATGATCAATAATAATGAGAGAAGGACACCATAATGATCTTTAAGTTTAAAAATATATATATTTATTAAAAATCTTCTTCATCATCGGCAAAATACTGCAGAGAGGGAGGAAAAAGAACATTACCAAAACAGTGGCAGCTACACTTGAGTTTAAGATGCTACATCTAATACTCCCATTACATCTTCTGGATCCTCCTGAGGAGGTAAAATGGGAAGAGGTGGAGGTGGAGGAGGATGAGGGGGGAAAAGAGGAGGAAGATTGGGGCCCTGCTGGACCCACTCGTCAGCGGAGGAGGTGTGCTCACTGTCCTGCAGAACAACACAACTCAACAGATTGTCAAACTGCACATCATATTATAGTCGCAGTGTAAAGGCATATGCACAAAGCTCAACTTACTGTACGGCTTATTAGTTCAGTGGTCGCTGTCTAGAAATAAAGGCAATTTTAAAAAATAAATATAGAGTATTTTATTAGCCTTTTATTTTATGCAGCATTTTTCTTTGTACTTACATCACTGAACCCAGGGCTGTCCACGCCACTGTCCGGCGGATGCATCTCTGTGGATGTAATCATATTAAAAATAGAGTACATATTTACAACTAACTACAGGTGTGAACATTTGAAAGCAAATTATGACATAATGAATGCAAGTGGGAAAAAAATTATTCACTGGGGTGTAAAGTTTGTTTATTGTTGAATCATGTTAACATGTAAATGAAGAACTGCAGTAATGGATATCTGTTTGGCCTACAGACCCTCTGATGTACCAACACTACAAGAGATTCTTGGAAACTTTACAACTGGTTTAATTCAACAGCCTATACGCTCCTCTCCAGCAGACAGCAAAGGTATAAAAGTACCATTTTTTTAAATATGTTTCTCTCTCTCTCTCTCTCTCTCTCTCTCTCTCTCTCTCTCTCTCTCTCTCTCTCTCTCTCTCTCTCTCTCTCTCTCTCTCTCTCTCTCTCTCTCTCTCTCTCTCTCTCTCTCTCTCTCTCTCTCTCTCTCTCTC